GCCAAGGAGGCTCCTGTGAGTGTCATCCAACACAGGCCGGGCTACCCAAATCAACAGAAGTGAATCTTGACTGCATTAGGTTCCTTTTGTGACCTGAAGAAACCTGGGTGGTTTCCCTTGGGTGCTCCTGGAGGTCATAGCCATTGAGTCAGAGGTCATGGGATCAGAAACCTACCTAGGGATGGCTGTAGGCCCTCTTGGTTACAAACTGGCAATGCCTGAGCTCTGAAACTTGGATGCAGGCAGCAGACAGCCACCCAAGCCCGTTCACCCATGCCAGTCTACAACCTGCCCGCTCCTGTTGTGACATGGTGCCACTCCAATTCCAAGTGAGTGGCCATTGCAGTCTGTAGACGCTGTCACCCTGCGAAGTCCAGCATCCATTCAGATGAGCAGTAGGCCCACCAAGAAGTGAGACCACAGTGGGCCTTCTTTCAACACCTGGAAACTCTCCTACTGTAAAGTGATGGAGAAGTAGATAATAAAATCAGAATCTCGGGCCTGGAGCTGTGGCACAGTGGGTAGTGCAGCTGTTTCACTTTCCATCCAGATCCCTGCTGATGAGCCTGGGAGGGCAGTGGAAGATGGTCCAAGTCTTTGGGCTCTGGCACCCATCCGGGTGACCCAGAGGAGGTACTGGACTCTGGTTCCTGGCTTTGGGTCAGCACAGCTCACCCTGTTGCAGCCATTTGGAGTGGACCAATGAATGGAAGATCTCTCTCTTTCTCTCTGTTGCCTTTCAAATAGATGGATGGATAGATAGAGATAGATATAGATAAATAAGTCTTTTTAATCTAAATTGTATTTTAATTTAATTTTTAAAAGACTTATTTATTTTTATTGGAAAGCCAGATATACAGAGAAAAGACAGAGAAGATGATCTTCCGTCTGCTGATTCACTCCCCAAGTGACTACAATGGCCGATGCTGAGCCGATCCGAAGCCAGGAGCCTGGAGCTTGATCCAGGTATTCCTTGTGGGTGCAGGATCCTAAGGCTTTGGGCTGACCTTGACTGCTTTTACAGGCCACAGAGAGCTGGATGGGAAGTGGGGCCGCCAGGATTAGTACAGTTGCACATATGGGATCCTGGCACGTTCAAGGCAAGGACTTTAGCCACTAGGCCACCACGCCAGGCCCAAACAAGTCTTTTTAAAAAGTTCTCAGCCTGTTGGCTAAGGTCAAGTGTAAAAAACAAAACAATCGGGCCCGGCGTGATGGCGCAGTGGTTAAGGTCCTCGCTTTGCTTGCCTGAGATCCCATATGGGCGCCGGTTCTAATCCTGGCAGCCCCGCTTCCCATCCAGCTCCCTGCCTGGGAGACCCGGAAGAGGCTCCTGGCTTGGGATTGGCTCAGCTCCAGCCGTTGCAGCCGCCTGGGGAGTGAATCATCGGATGAAAGATCTTCCTCTCTGTCTCTCCTCTCTGTATATCCACCTTTCCAATTAAAAAAAAAGAAAAAAAAAACAGGGGTTGATGTTGTGGGGAGTAGGTTAAGCCACACCTATGATGTCCTCGCCCATATGGTCATGGGTTCGGGTCCCAGCTGCTCTACTTCCAGTCCAGCTCCCTGCTGATAGGCCTGAGATAGCAGCAGAAGATGTCCAAACACTTGGTCCCCTGCCACACATACAAGAGACCTGGAAGAAGCTCCGGGCTTCCAGCTGCTACCGAACCCATTGTGACAATTTGGGAAGTAAACCTGCAATGGAAGATCTCTTTCCCTGTCACTCTGCCTTTGAAATAAATACTAAATCTTTAAAAAGAAATAAAAAAGGGAGAGTATGGTGGCATATCAGACTGACCCTCTATCTGCTGACACTAGCATCCAATTAGTGCATGGGTTCATGTCCTGGCTGCTCCACTTCTTGATCTAGATCCTTGCTTGTTGCTTGGGAAGGCAGTCGAGGATGGCACCAAGTCCTTGGGCCTCGGTACCCACGTATAGGATTCCTAGATGAAGCTCCTGGATCACAGCTTCAGAGTGGCCTTGCTCTGGCAGTTGTGGTCATTTGGGGGATGAAGCAGCAGATGGAAGATCTGTCTCTCCTTCTCTCTGTGTAACTCTGACTTTAAAAGCAATATAAATAAATCTTAAAAAAAAAAGTGTGTGTGGGGGGGGAATGGCCAATCTTCACCTGCAAGTGCTGGCATCCCATGTGGATGTTGGTTTGTGTCCTGGCTGCGCCACTTCCCATCCAGCTCCTTGCTCAAGGCCTGGGAAAGCAGTGCAGGGTGACTCAAGTCTTTGGGATCCTGCCACCTGTGTGAGAGACCCGGAAGAAGTTCCTGGCTTCAGACGAGATCAGTCTTGGCCTTTGTGGCCATTTGGGGAGTGGACTAGCAGATGGAAGATCTTTCTATGTCTCTCCTTCTCTCTGTAAATCTCTCTCTCTCTCTCTAATAAAAATAAATATTTTTTTAAAAGGAAATTAAAAAGCCACAATGATACTGTTCTTTTAGGACAGTGCATTCCCTCTTTGAAGTCAACATTGGAGGTCATGTAGGACTTCATAAGACAATGTTAGGTGCTTTCTACGGAAACAACTAGGAAATCTATGGCCCCTCTGGAGTCTCGCTGTGCAGGCCAGCCAAGTCAAATACAGAACAGCGAAGAAAACTGATCATGCTCAGAGAGCTGTAACTGACAAAATTGAGTCTCAAATCCAGGCACTCTGGCTCCCATCCGCTCCTGCCCCTTAACAACCAAGCCAGCCAGCCAGCCCCACAGATAAACAAAGCACACAGGAACAGAGTGAAAGTGAACAGGTGCCTATGGCGGTGAGGTTGAGGATGGAGGCCAAAGGAGCCCTCCCCACCACACTCCCAGGTCAACCAGCCTGTCTCCCAGACTTTCCCTATGCCATCAGCGCCTGACCCACTGGGGCAAACACTGCTCTCTGTTTGACCAAGGGGAAGGCACTAAGGCTGAGAGTGGGTCCAGTCACCAGTAGGAGGACAGGACACGGTCGCGAGGCTCCAGAGTCACATCCAGCTCCCTGCGGCTTGCTGACCCATTCTCTCTCAAAGGCAGGGCTCCAAATGCCAACCCCTGTCTTACATCTGAAAGTCAGGGGCCAGTGCTGTGGTATAACATGCCAATCACCTGCCTGTGGGGCTGGCATCCCATGCATGCACTGGTTCAAATCCTGGCAGTTCCACATCCAATCCAGTTCCCTGCTAATGTGCTTGGGGAAATAGCAGAAGATGGCCCAAATCCTTGGGTCCCTGTATCCACAGAGAAGACCCCAAAGAAGCTCCTGGCTCCTGGCTTCAGACCAGCCCAGCTCTGGCCACTACAGCCATTTGTAGAGTAAACCAACAGGTGGAAAATCTCCCTCTTTCTCTCTGTAACTATGCCTTTCAAATAAATAAATCTATTTTTAAAAAATAATAAATAAACACACAGGGTCAAAACATTGACTATTTGGCTGGTCCCCTGCCTACAAGAGCAGGCATTAAACATGAGTGTTAGTTCCTGTCCCAATAACTCTGCTTCCCATCCAGCTCCCTATTCATAGCCTGGGAAAGGAGCAGAGGATGGTTCAAAGTGTGGAAGACCCGGAAGAAGCTCCTGGCTCCTGGCTCCTGGCTGCTGGCTTAAGATCTGCTTGGTTCTGCTCTTTGTGGCCTGTTGGGGAGTGAATCAGCAGATGGAAGATCTTTCTCTGTCTCTTCTTCTCTCTGTAAATCTGCCTTTCCAGTAAAAATAAATATTTTTAAAAAGTCACTCCACCATTACAGAGCAGTGGTCCTGATGGCTGGGGAGGGGCAAGGAGTCACCCAAGACCAGAAAGAACTTGAATCCTAGGACTCAGACTCCGGTTCTAGTCCCATTTCTGGCATTTAATGAACACGTGGCTTTCATCAAGTCCCTTAAGCGCTGTACTTCTACTTCCCTTAAATTAGAAGCTGCACGTTGGGCCCCTGATCTCACAAGAAAGTACTGACCAGGAAGATGTTCTACAGCCTGAGCACAAACAGCGGGCGAGGGCATGCCAGAGGACAGGCCCCCCAATGAACTTCACCCTTTGCTTTAGGCAGGCTGGACCAAGGTTGGCCGGATACATAGCTACCAACAGAGTGATGCAGGGAAGGGAGACGCCGAACAGCAAACAGCCTGGCGCCCACCGGCCCCTGCACACTTTGTGAAGAGGACTGCCTGTCATCTCTGAAGGCAGTAGGGGCCACCTGGTCAGCACGTGACTTTGAACCCGCAGGTCACACAGGCAGGGTGGGAGGTGCCACTCAGAAACAAGCAATCGATTCTAGGTCTGAATGAGATGATCTGGCTTTGGGCAAGAGCTCAACAGTGGGAGCCCACCAAGCCTCTTGGCTTACCCCACACCAGGAATTCCCCAAGAAGAGGACAGCATGAAATCGGCACTGGGCCCTTGCACACAGTGACCCCTCGGAGGGTGGAGGAGCTCGTCGGACAGCTGCCTGCACACACCGGGAGATTTGGAAGACTAGCAAAGCAACAGTTTGAGCCATGGCTCCCAATATGCATGCCTGTTGATGGACAGCAGGTACCAGTGCTAAGGGTGTGTGGTCATGTTAATTCCACAGCTTCCTGCCCCCAGCAAGAAGCTCCTAAGGGTTTAGGGAGAAGGTACTCTGAGACTGGAAGGGGCTGCGGGGAGCACAGGTACCTATCCTTCAGTGTCTACAAGAACTTGGACAAAGACTGTGGGTAAGAAAACCAACACCAGCCAGGCCTTCTGCCCTCGCACCCTAGACAGTCACCAAATGCAGGCAGGAATGCTCTCCCGACCTAGGGACCTCACGGACCTCATCGAAAAACTTAAAAGCCACAGTGATCACACTAACAGACCTGAAATCCGACGCGCCAAGAGCGGGCGCATCGGCGTCGGAGAATCTACAACTAACCACTGAGCGTGCAAGAAGCGCGCGGGTCACCACCCTCTAGGGCTCCCGGCCAGGTCGCCCTGCTCCTTCGCAGCTCGGACGCCGCATCTCTCCCGCGTACCATTCTCAGATTACCTGGCTCGCGCCTCCGCCGGCGTCCGGCACCTGAGCCGTCGGTTCCGCGGGTAACTTGTCCTCTCCCGCGGCTGTCACCGGGCTACTCCTAGCCAACCGGGAATCCCCACTGCTCCCGGGCGCGGCGTGGCTGCTGCCATCCACACTGGTGCCGATCCCTCCGGCCGAGGCGGCGGCGCTGAGCAGCCCGTGGGTCCCGTCTGTGTCCCCGCCCGCCACGCTGTGCACCAGCCAGGCATCGACGCGGAGGCGCGGGATGAAGGGTACCCCAAGAGCGCGCACTTCCCGGAGCCAGTGGCCCTGGGGAGGCCCAGTGGGGTCATGCTCCCGGTCCTTGGGGTGCAGATGCCCAGAGTGTTCCCCGCCGTCCCAGGGGAAGGGGTTGAGGGCGTAGGCGGAGCTGCCTGGGTCGCCCAGCAGTAGCGCTTCATCCTGGAGCAGGAAGGACGGTGGCAGCAGCAGGTCCAGATCCAAGTCCAGGTCCAGGCGGAGCCCCGCCAGCAGGACCGTGAGATGCAGGAGGCCGCCACCCGCCGTCCCCCATGGCTTCAGCAGCTTCATCCCGCTTGCGCCGCGGCTCCCTGCGCTCCAGCCGCCGCGCACGCCAGCACCTGTCGAGAGCGCACCCGGGACCGAAACAATGGAGCGTGCAGCGGCCGTCGTGGGCTCCCGGCGTCGGTACAAAGACGCTTCCTCGGCAGCCGGCAGGGTGCGAGGCGCGGCCGGGAATTGGGCGAGGCGGAGGAGGAGCCACCTGCGCGCCGTGGCCAGGCCCCACCCCGGGCCGCGGGCCCCACAGCTTGGAACACGCCTGCGGGTTGGGAGCCAGGGCTGCGGGCGGGGAGGGGACCTGCCCCGCCGTAACTCCAAGCCTCCTCATATGGCGGGGTGGGAAGGAGGCGTGGCGGGGAGGATGGTCATAGCACAAAGCTTTGGGGAGGTCAAGTTATTCTAAACCCTGATATGTATGCGAACCTGAATTGAACCAACCTAGCTCAAAGCTTGAGGGGTAGGAGCTAGAGCTAGGACAGAGCGGTTTATATACGCGGATGGGTAGACTTGGAAAATAGATAACTTGCAAAGCGCTTTCGATCAGATGGAGACCCTGGGCTGGAAGGCTATGGAGTCTGATCCCAAGTAGCTGCATCACCTCCAGTTGTGACCTTAAGCACCTGTCAGACAGGGACATGTTAAGGTGGGACAGTCGCAGTGTCAGACCCAGAGACTGCCCTCCCACTGCGCGTGCCCAGCCTCACAGCCGCCTCACTCTTCCCTGGATCTGCCTTGCAAGTTGCTGGCATTCGCTGTGAACTGTTAGCACCAACTATGCAGGTTCTGGAGAATCAAATGTTCTTTCACTGCTTCCTAGGCCAAGGTTTTCTGTTTGTTTTGTTTTAATTTCATTGTAAAGTCAGAGATATAGAGAGGAGGAGGAGAGACAGAGAGAAGAACTTCTGTCTGTTCATTCACTCCCTGAAGCAGTCATAACGTTGTGCCAATCTGAAGCCAGGAGCCCGGAGCCTCTTCTCGGTCTCCCATGCGGGTTCAGAGTCCCAAGGCTTTGGGCCGTCCCAGGCCACAAGCAGGGAGCTGGATGGGATGTGGAGCTGCCGGGATTAGAACTAGCACTCATATGGGATCCTGGTGCGTGCAAGGTGAAGACTTTAGCCACTAGGCTACCACACTGGGTCCCCAACTGAGAAGTTTTGATGAGATGAGTTGGTTCAACCCCGCCAGGGTTAGCAGACAGACTGTTCTTTAGTCATTTCTGTTGATTTCTCTTGTTGTGAGTGTGGGCTGCAAAGAGTGACTCGCTCCCAACAAATGGATCCTGGCGGAAGGCTGGCATGTCCGGAGCAGGTGTAGGTGGCTTCTGTCTTGCTTCTGTCTCTCTCCATCTTTCAGTCCTTCCCTCTTGGAACCCTGCTATGGGTCAGGGCACCAGTGTCCCTGGCCAGCCACTGGTGAGCAGCTGAGCCCTGTCAACACCACTTGGAGTTGATCCAACCATATTCTTTCCCCCCTTAAGGCTGAAGATGACTACAGCCCTGGGAGACCTTTAGCTGGAGACCCGGGTGGGTGGGGGCAGGGGGAGCTTCGACATTGCATATGGAGTCCTGGCCCAGAAATGAATCTAAGATAATAAATATTTTTAAAACACTGCATCATAGGGTGGTTGGCTATGCAGCCATAAGTAATGCATCCTGAGTCAGATGTGGTTATCAGATAAGAATCCAAAAGAATTCATGGGGAAATTGGCTTAAAAGGTCAGTTTAGGAGCCAGCTGTGTGTGGACCTGCTTAGGTGATGACTGAAGTGATGGGGTCCCACCACCCATGTGGGAAGCCTGAGTTAGATTCCCAGCTCGCAGCTTCGGGCTTTAGACTCTGCCTGTGCAAACCGTTGGGGAGGGAACCAATGGATGGGAGACATCTCTGCCTTTCTCAATCTTTGAAATAAATAAATTGATTTTTTTTTCTTTTTTTTTTTCTTTTTTTAAGATAAGTTCCCGGGGCAGGCAGTGTTGTAACTCAGCAAGAAAGCTGTTGTCAGCTCCCTGCTGATGGCCTGGGAAATTTGGAAGATGGTGCAAGTGCTTGGGAATAGCATGATAACTATTGGATAATGGGTAAAGGAACCTGGTTGAAAGGAGAACTGATAAGTCCAATGAATAATTTGTAACTATACAGACCAGTCCATTTTGGTCCTTAAGTGCAACAGACTGGCTTTCCCCTTGGTATGAGACATGGCTCTCTCTAAGACACAGTCACCCCTGGCTGGTGGGAGGTGGCATCTATCCTGGTTCTTGGAGGCATCTGACCTGGAAAAAAAAACCCTTCTCCTTCTCTCTGTATTCTCACACAATTCTTCTGACAACACATTTGTGACTTTCCACATCAAGCAATTCTCTACTTCTCTGTGCAGGCAACTGGCTGTCCTATGAGTTACTTCAGTTCTGACACTATCAATTTGGAGCTAGCATCAGACCCTGCAGGTTCCAGATCAGCTGAATGAGACAATGCCCCCTCTCCCGTGTAGTTCAGATGGCAATCTCAAGCCCACGCTTGCTGGCCTGCTGGCTGTCCTTGAGCCCCTCTTCAGGTGTGGCAATGAGCTAGAATGGCTCCCAGGACTCAGAGAGGTCTTTTCTGTTTTTCACAAGGGTATTGTCAAGGATCCAGGAAGTAGAAGAGAAACGTAGGGCAAGGGGTGGAAACTCCACGCCCTGCACAGGTGCACTACCCACTCAGCCCACTAGCTTTCCAACCTTTGTCATGCTGTAGGCGTGATTGCTTAAGTCGTGAGTCTCAGAGATCGAGAGCTTCCTCCAGTCCTTTTCTCCTCCTGGGAAGTTGCTGGTGTGTGGGAGCAGCCAGCTGGACTGGCACTGCCAGTTCAACCCTGTGATGCCAGCTGGTGCCCCTCCCTGTCTAGGGATCACTTCAGGATCAAAACTCAGGAGTGATGGACAGACAACAGTTCCTTTGACCTTGATTTCTCTGCAACTGTTTCAGGAGAAGGTCTCAGGGACAAAAACCAAACGTCTTCAAAGATGCTCTCATAGCTCATCACTTAGAGAGGGACCAGGGTTTTAAGGAGCTCTGGCCAGGAGCCAGCGATAAAGACCAAACGTGCTCCTTGTTATATCTAGATATAAAACATCTCCAAAATCAGCAAGAAAGAGAACAGGTCTAAACCTTGTTATTCTACTTTTAGAAAGTTCCTGTTGCTATTGTCCACAATAAATTAAAAACTGGGGAAGAAATATCAGGGTTAAACAAAACAGCGTCCTAAAGTCCCAGTCATAAATTAAGATGTAAATTGTATGATTGAGGAGGAAGTATTAGGCAAGGCTGGATTCGAAATAGGCAGGCAATGCAATTTCAGTGACAGCAAAGGTTGAGGCATTTTGACAATGGTCTTGGCAAAGGAGAAAGGGCTTGTGAATGACCTGATTTACTATCTATATCACCCGTTTGAAGCAGGGTGAGTCAAGTGAGATTTAAGGAAGAATTGCTTATGCTCTCTTTCTTGTTGAGTTGTGATCTTCTGAAAGTCTGACCTTGATGTTGCTTCAGACATGAGGCTGATCTGTAACTGTGCTCACACAGTGCTTTCACAGTAGGAAAGGAAAGGGGGACAGGTGTTTCCTGCAGTGGTTATGATGCCAACTGGGATGGGAGGACAGCATTGTAGCTCAGCAGGGAAGGCTGCCACCAGCTCCCTGCTAATGCTTGGGAAAAGCAATGGAAGATGGTCCAAGTGTTTGGGAATAGCAGGATGAGTATGATGTCAGAGTGGATGTTGATTTGGTCTAGAGGGTAAAGTGTCTTGTCCCATATTATAGGCTTGAGCTCAACATCCAGCTCTGCTCTGGACTCCAGCTTCCTGTTAATGCAGGCATTAAGAGGCAGGCATGGGGTCCAGTACAATGGCTCATTGAGCTAATCCTCCCCCTTCATGCACTGGGATCCCATATACATGCCGAATCATGTTCCAGCTGCCCCACTGCCCATCCTGCTTGTGGCCTGGGAAAGCATCTGAGGATGGCCCAGGTCCCTGGACCCCTGAACCCACGTGAAAGACTCAGAAGAAGCTCCTGGCTTCAGATAGGCTCAGCTTTGGCCATTTGTGGCCATTTGGGGAGTGAATCAGTAGATGGAAGATCTTTTTCTGTCTCTCCTTTCTGTGAAATCTGCCTTTCCAATAAAAATAAATAAATCTTTACAAAGAAGGAGGAGGAGAAGAAGAAGAAGAGGAGGAGGACGAGGAACTGGTAGCTGTGATGGCTCAAGTGTGTGTCTTCCTGGCTCGTGCATGAGAAGCCTGGATTGAGTTCCAGGCTCTTGACTTTGGTGTTGGCCTCAGTTCTGGCCATTGTGGACATCTGGGGAGGGGAGGGTGAACAAGCTGACAAGGGTGCTCTCTCTCTGTCTTTCTCATTGTTTCTCAAATAAATAAAAAGAAAATAAAACCAAGGAAAACATGCCTTAAAATACAATGCCAATGCTGTAGGTTTACTTGAAACTCGCAGCATGCGTTATGAATCATCACCTTCTGAGCCTTGAATGTATACCACATTTCTTTGCTAATGACCTGGGAATAAGCTGCTCAGAGAAAGGGGGCTCTTCTCTCCCTGGTGAGCATGGAGGGCACTGGGGTGCTGCCCAGTGCAAAGGCACCCTAGTGAGTCACAGCAGGGGCATGCCCCACTGGGCACTGGAGGCCACTATATCCCACCTTTCCTTCATCCCAGAGGCTTGGCTTCCCCATGGGGATTTGCCCCTTCCCCTGAGCCTGCCTCCTTGCTCTCACAGAGGAACAAGTGCTCAGCAGCCAGGGTGTTTGCAAGGGCAGTTGGCCAGAAGCCACTTACCATGTGTTTTTTGACAAACTCAAAAATGAACAACAGCTTTTTCAAGTTCCATTTGCTCATGGATAACTTTTTTCTATACAATAGAGATTATTTTCTAAAAATAATTTTATAATAACCTACGTGACATGATATACAATCTTACAAATGTAATTTGTTATTTTTAATATTTATTTATTTTTTAAAG